ATACCGTGGCATATACCACGACGAAAGATAACCACAGAAGATAGTATGCGCATATTAATTTGATAAGCAAATGCATTCACGAACGACGAAGCTTTAAACTTTAACTAGGAGTATATTTCAATGATCGAAAAAAAAAAAAAATCGAGCCAATCATTTTTTATATCCAATTATTCCGTATTAATTTTTAAATTTGAAATTTCGAGAATAAATTTTTATCAGTTTTACGAGTGGTGTGAATATGATATAAAATTTCGAAAGAGAGAAAAAAAAATTACGTTTATAATGTTTTTTTCAATCGTCCGTATTTAATTTATAAATATATAAATGTATAATTTATAAATTCTCGAAACGAATGTGTTTACTACAGCACAGAACATTTCGATCGACATTGTATCGAAACTTTAATATAAACACGCGCGCGTACACCAAAGTTCGCGTAGCGAATATAAACAAACGATTTCATTTCATTGTCGAAAGCGAGACGATACGCACTTACGACGTGGCGCGCCTCGATTTTCGCGAGTGGATCGTCGTTTAATCGTGAAATCTTTGATCGCACGACGAACAGGGATTGAATTATACTTCGGCCTCCCTCTTCCCTCCCCCCTTGCTAAATAATTCCGCTCATTTTTCCGCGTTAATTCTCATTAGCGGGCGTTTTCTACGGGATTCGTTATCGTTAACGGCACGATATCGAGATACGAAGGAAACGTGGGAAATTCTCTTTATTACATCTTTATTACAGCTTTTGTACAACGACGTGCATGGAGGAAATATTTTTTTCGAATAGAATCGGTATTGCTTAGTGTATATATATATTTATATATCATCGGTCGCTACGATTTCCTAGTCCACTTCTGTGTGTGTGTGTGTGTGTGTGTGTGTGTACGTGTGTTCAATCAGGTTGGAATTCAGAGTCCGCTTTCTGTAAAAAACTGTAAGTAACGCAAGAAGAAGATCGTTGGATCGATTAAAGCGGTCCAAGTATAGTGGCAAAGGGAGGAGGGAGGGATATCGTTTCTTTCGTACGGATCGTTCGTGATCGAGCTTCGATCACTCCTTACCCAATGGGTAAGAAGTAATTCGAGTCCTTTTTCGTCATTTGTCAGCGAAGCGGAAAAATTGTAGCGATCGTGCATCAACAACGTTTTTTCGAATTCGTGACCCTTTGTTATTTGATTGTGATAACGTGAATGCGTGCTCGATTATACCGATAAGGTAAAAGGTGATAAAGTATGTGATTGCGATAAAATAGTGCAGAGGTGTAGGAACTTTGTTCGATGTTAAATGAAATACGTATCGTTTTTCGTATCGTTTTTTAATTTCGACATTATATAAAATGTCGTCGAAAAATTGAATATCTCACATATGTTGAAAGATATATATTTTTGCGTATCAACTTTTACCTGTTTTTGTCTGTTTCGATCCGTAGAATCATCTCTTAAATTTTCTACAAATTTTCATCGTATCTAAACGAATCTGTACGAAATGAAACGGAAAAAATAGACTCGAATTAATCTGGCTCTTAAGTGCGGAATAGATTAATGGAAATAAAGAAGAACGTATGGGACACAATGAAGGTGAACCAGAAAGAATAAACATTTAGCTGCGGAATGCGTGTGCCGCGTATAATGTAAGCAATTACATCGTTGTTCGTTTTTAGATCGCGACTTCCGATATCGAAGGAAGGCCCTACGAAGGAACTTGATGCGTTTTTAACGAGAATAAAATGGTGGCGAGATAACGCAATAATTAATTGTCCGGTTATCTCGAATTTTTATATCCCCGGTTTTCGTTTCAACGCCCCGGCTATCGTCTTTAATGGATCGGAATACGCCGGTTAATTACGCTTTGTTTTTCCTATCCTATCAACTTGAAACTTTCGGGCCCGGTAATGGCGGATGGAACGGTCGATATTGATATTCGATGGAAATATAACGGAACTTTGGAATAAGCTATTCCAATTCCATCTTTGGACGACTGGTTTGTTGAAATGTCGCTGAAACTTATCGATCACTTCCGCCCCCTCTTTCTTTCCTTTCGTTCGAACTTCGCGGCGCTTACGGCAGTAGCCTACGAGTAAGGGAAAAAGCTCGAATTTCGAATTGAAAGAATAATGAAAGAATTTCCTTTTTTTCTTTTCTCCTTTTTTTTTTTTTCTAATCCTCTTTTAAGTCGTTCGAATCGAACAGTCGGCGGAAAAAAATAAAACGGACGGTAAATGTATCGAGAATCGGCTTTGATCATTCATTTGGGCGCGATGGAAACGCACTTTTTTCACTGGTTGTTGACGGAATGCATACGCGAAATATAATTCCCCGGCTCGAGGTGGCACGTCTCACGCGTATTATTACGTGTACGGCACCGACGTGTCTAATTACGTTCGGTTCAATTTCGACATTACGTTTCGATGAGAATTAATATCTAGGGGAGATCTTATTATTAAATCGTGTTTTAAATAATCTCTCGATTTTTTTCTTTTAAACTTTTCAAGAGAACGAAATCGTTGGCTCCTTCGGGAAAAGATAAAAGAAGGGGGAGGGGAGAGAAAATTTAACGCAATCTTTCGATTAAATTTCTGTCCACGAACAAAATTTGATAAATTCAACAACAATAATTTTATCAAGTTAACCCAACTTTCCTCGATCCTTTAATCTTACAAAAATATATTAACAAATATACGTATATATATAAAAAGAACCTATATAAAAAGAAATAACGAAAGATAATATTTCCACAACAATCGTGGAAAACACTAGCCCCAAACGGGTTCTCGGTGCTCGTGTACGACGCACGAGCGTCCATACAATTAATTATTGACCCGTTTTAATCGCGTTAGGTCTAATTAGCGGGGAGAGGGAGTCCGTCTCAAAGTTGTTAATTAAATTGGTTAATGCGATAAAGGAGTCCATAGCGGAGTTCTCTCCGTTCCCTTTCTCTTCTCGCCTCTTTCGCCCCCTTTCCATATATCGGTCGCTGCTGCTTCTCGTGTCTTTGTGTACCCCCCGCGCGGAAATGCACCGCGAAACGTAGACCAAAGATACTTTCATCCACGGCGATTATTTCAATTATACCAGCCAGCCTCACGATCAGACCGAAACCTCTCCTCCCCTTCTCTCTTTCTCTCTCTCTCTCTCTCTCCTCTCCTCTCCTCGTGTATGCAGTCACGATTTGCAGAGGGAATAGCCGCGGCGTGACGACGAGTAATGTACGAGTAGATGTTTATGCCGTCGCCACGGTGTATCGTAATCCTATTGAGGCGAGGCTGTTATAATATAAGAATTTCAATTGAAAGGATTACAATAAGTCGTGTAATTCCGTTATTCGTGTGCTTTTTGGTTAATGGAATTTTTCTTACGTAAATACACATATATGTATACATACGTACATATAATTTTCTCTGGTAGTAATTTTCAAAATAGAATCCTTTCCGATATATAGGTTTCTTGGCGAATAACGTTCCTCTTGTTTACGAAAATCGAATGACTCAGTGATGAAGCGTTTTTGTACGCTTTTCCGTGGCGATTTTATTGATTTAGCAGCCAGTTTATTATAAGCTTTTTCAATTCTTCGTCTTCGATAAATTAATTCTTGAAGCGTTAAAGTGGATCCCCGCCCTATTTTATTATCGATCCGATTTCCATATTTTTTTTCGCGTAATCGTAAATTTAAAAATATAAAAATATACGTCGAAATTACGTGCAACGTCTGAAAATAATTTATTTAGGTGTAGTTGGCATCAAATGTCACGGGTTAATGGGGCAAATGTAAGGAATGCAGATTGATACTACTTATATATCCAAGTTCAGTTTTAACCCACGTTTCGATCCTTTCTACGTCCGTCCATTGTGTCGGACACAATTATAGAGCAAGAGATTAATCCCAGAAAATTCTTATCCCAATTTCTAAATATATAATATCCGAGAAATCGTTGGGCAACAAAAGTTTCCAGAACGAATCGCGCTTACCTCAATCGGTCTCGATTATTCCTTTCACGCCAATATTTCAAACGTATAAAAAAAAAAAAAAAAAAAAAAGGAAAGAAAGAAAAAAAAAGAAAAAACGACTAAAAAGCGGATCGACAGAGATCGAGTTTCAACCGGTCAACCCGTCGATCGCTGTTACAAAACCTTGGAACGATTATAACGCGGGATAAATCGATAGCTGCCTACAATAATAAATATTTTTTCACGTTAGATTCGAAATCTCTATAGAGATATTCCAAGCTGTTTCCCTCCCTCTCTCGTCGCCTATATTCCTCTCGAATTTGTCTCGCGGATCGACGACACCTCCGCGCCTCGAAATAACCGAGTGGCAGCCGAGTTGCCACGGGAAGGCCGGCAGTCATTAATTATAATTAATATCGGTGCCGATAATGGCAGTTGCCGCGCTCCATATATCGGCGGAACATAGATCGGTGAGAAACGCCTCTAACGTGTAAACGGCCGCTATATACGTCCGTATAAATTTCCATCTTCCATCGAGATGATCGTCGTCGATGTTACACAGCCGCCAGTCCATACGAGTGGTGGTCAATTTGTAGTAGTAGTAGTAATAGTAGTAGTAGTAGTAATAATAATAGCAGTAATAGTAATGGTGGTAGTAGTCAATTTCGCTCGGTTGTTGTTGGCGAGTTGGAAAAAAAAGGGGATGGGATGAAAAACGGAAGTGGAAAGACGCGGAATAGAGCGGGCGAAGGGAGAAAGAGATAGCTGTATAAGTCGGTTCGACTTAAAAGGCATCGACGACGTGGATTAAACGTTGCTCGTTATACGTGTCGTGGTTGTAAATCGTCCTTGTAAATCAATTGACCGGATCTGGCCGGGCTGAACGACCTGATAAATAGGATTAACCGATTTACGGTGGACGGAGATTCGTCCGTATCGATCATAATCAACGATCAACTGGGATATCGCGAGTCCGAAATTAATTTTCGCCCGGTTGAGAGAAGAAGATGGTCGTTTCTTTATTCTCTTCTCTTTTTGTTGTCACGACCGCAGGCCAATCCATGCCAGCATCCGATCGTGATCCTGAGGGACGTCGCCTCGTCGGACATGGAGTCGTTGCTGCGCTTCATGTACCACGGAGAGGTGCACGTAGGTCAGGAACAGCTCGCCGCGTTCCTAAAGACGGCGCAGATGCTTCAGGTTCGAGGGTTGGCCGATGTGAACAGCGGCGCTGCCAAAATTCCTCCTCCCTCGTCCTCCGGCGGGAACAATGGCAGTGCGCCGGTAAATACGAGTTTCAACTTTCGAGATTACAAGCTACCGATTTAAATTTGGACATAGTACGCGGTAATTGGACATTGGATTTTCGGACTTGACAGGCGACACCGCGCAATCCTTGGCAAGACAACGGCAGAGGAGAGTTGAACGAGAGCGGTCTGAGCCCACCACCAGAGAAGAGACCTAGAAGCTATAGCCCACCGTTGGGTAACCACGTGGAGCCCAAGACCGACCTTCAAGAATCGCTTTTGGGCCAGGCATTGGCGGAGGGACCTACGATACACACGACACCCACGAACAACGTTCAGGTACGGCTCTTGAAAAAATTTAAAACGATCGTTGACCACCGTCGAAAGAATATTTTATTCGCGGAGAGACTCGGAATAAGACGCGGAAGAGGGATGATTTTTATCGGTTACAGGCGCAATCTACCGGCGAGGACTCGAATTCCATGTCGGACAACGAGGAAGAGATGTCGAATAACGACAGCATCCTGAACTCGGTGAAGACCGAGCCAAGCGACATCCTGAATGATTCTATGGAACATCACCGTAATTCGTTTCCGGCGCTCTTGGGAATACCAGGTAATTTGATCGAAATTACCTCGCTTCCTTTATTTTTTTCTTTTTTTTTTTTTTTCCTCGATAAACGTATCGTAACTCTATCTCATCGACTCGATCGAAATTAATATTTTGAACGGTGGGGGGGGGGGGGGGTCGATGTATCGCACTGTATTTTCTATTTAGAGTTGATGACCAGTGTGAATGAGCAGAGACAGGTTTGTGATTATGATCGTACTTGATACTTACAGGACTGATACCAGGACCGTCCGGGATCCACGCGGCGAATCAGGATCCGAATTACGGTAAGTGATCAGAAACCAACGATTCGATTCTCGATTCGGTTTTATTACGTATTCGTAAGCCCAAACTATAATATCCTCCCGTCGATTCCCTCAAGACTCTGGTCTCTCGTTGTTGCGTTGAATGCATGGAACTCTCGTACCTCTCACAACCCTGCATCCCCTTGCCCAATTTACTCCTTTTGGATAAAGAAAAAGGAAATAAATAAGAAAGAATAATTGTTGATAATGAAACGAAAAAAAAAAAAATAATAATAATAAAAAAAGAAAGAAAAGAAAATGGTGAGCAACAGCGTGTCGTAGAGCTACGTCTCCGACGGCTCTTCGAGTTCGTTTGCCGGAACAATATCGATTTTCCTCCGCAAAAATGGCCTGCGATCATTAGAAACGGTATCGTTAGGGTTGCCATGCAAAAGAAAAACTCGATTCTTTTTTTAATAATAATCTCGAATTCTTTGAACGACCCTTCTTGCTAAGGCTAATTGGTCGGCGAGGTACGAATTCGATCGACTGTTTAAAACTGTTTATGGAAAATAGAAATAAATAAGTAAATAAATAAAAATGACGTGAGGGTGGAGGTCTCGGAAATGGCAACGAAGAAGAACAAAATACACACGTTACCACATTCAACAAACAGATATATATATATATGTATATATATAAAAAATCTGACGAAACAAAATTAACACATATAAATGTGAAATATTAAATAAAATTGAAATTAAAAGAGTGCGACAAAAACATTTTGACAAAATACAATCTACGATTCGATCATAAATATTCAGGGAATTAAACAAACAACACGCAATTTGGGGGAGGGAAACAGTGTAACAGAAATATAAGAGGAAAAAAATAAGTAAATAAACAGAAATAAAGCAAACAAAAAAAAAAGAATATAAACGAACAGAATTGAAAACGAAGGGCTGTGGGAGGACAGAAAAAAAAAATTGAATAGTGTTTAAGGGATCGTACGAGGTTGGCTGAGGACTGACATTGGCTGGTGGTTCCAGGGCGATGGCAGCCCTCTGGAGGAGACGGTTCAAGCTCGAGTTCCGGTTGGTTGCCGGGTACGTCCTCCACGAGGAACGAGCACGCCGGGTCTGGAACTTACCAGAGCGGAGTTCACAACTCGAAAGGTCAGGACCTGTCGTCTCTGCTCCAGCAGCATCACCATCACCATCACCTCCACGCCACCAGCCAAGCGTCGCAGCAACACGCCCTAAATGCCCTGAACTCGCTCAACTCCCTGAATACCGAGCAGCTGTCGATCATGCATCAAAAGTTGCAGAACAATCTGCAAACGTTGCAGCAACAACAACAAACAGCGTCCGCGAAAAACGAACTGAATCTGATGCTTCAATCGTGCGCCAAGGAGAAGATTCAAGAGAGTATGGCGTTGTTCCATCAACAGACCCATCAACAGCGTCGGTTCCACCAGCAGACCGACAACGCGAGCCAATCCGGTAAACCGAAGTGTCCGGAGTGCGGGAAAATCTATTCGAACAATTCGAACCTGAAGCAGCACATCGTGAACGTGCACACGGTTCAAACGGAGTACGTCTCGTGTCACGTGTGCAGCAAGCAGTTCAAGACGAAACAATACCTCCAGATACATCTGTTGTCGATGCACGGTATCCGGAAACGGAAGAGTTACCCGTTGTATCAGATGCAAACACAGATGCAACAACAACAGCAGCAGCAGCAATCGTCGGGCGGCCAAGTGTCCGGCGGTCAGCAGCAATCGCAACAGCAATATCCGGCTCCGGAGAGATGGTCCGGAGGAGAGGACAAACAGTGATCGAAACGCGTGTATCGTTGATCGATCGAAGAACCACGCCAGAGACACGTGTGCCTCCCTTGGACCACGTATACAGGGGTGAAAAAGGGAATAGAGAGGGTCGATGAGAGTGGATGCTGGTAATCTGTATAGTTGGCCCTGGAGGAACTCTGATAGATAGCTCGGAATTATTTGGGATTAAGGCAACTACGACCTCGCAATAATCTTTGTAGTAGATTTTATTGTACATACGCGAATCGAAAACGTGCGCATAGGGAAGTAAGTATTTTTTTCGCGTGGAATCCAGTTACGTATAGATAGTTTATTTTTTTTTTTTTCTTTTTTCCGGTTCTTTTTCTTCTCCGCGAGTTTTTTGCCTCTCTCTCTGCCCCCTCCCTTTTTTCTTTTTCTCCTTCTTTTTCTTTTTTTTCTTTTTTTTTTTATTTCTTTCGGTAGTTAGGTTAAAAGAACGGCGGAGGTAGGCGATAGGCAAGAGGAGGGTGAAAGAGGGTGCTGATACGAGGATTGGCCGACCTATTTTCGTATTGTACCGCAGTGCGCAGCCAATCCTTCGAGGCAGCGATAAGTAAGCCCCCCCGCGATTGGCCAGCGGAGACTTCTTGAAATTCTCGCCGGAATTCTTATCGGTATAAATAGTAGGTGAGGAAGAAAGAAGGATGCGTCAGCCTCGTTTCTTCGAAAAGAGAGTCATTCACGGGAAAACGTCGATAGGGCTGTATTCACCCTTTTCCGAGGATTCGCGGTCTTTAAGGGGAACCGAGGAACGGACGGGCAATTCTAAAGGAATAGCTGAACCGATGAAAATAACCTTTCTAATGGAACCGAATCTTATCCTGAATATTTCTCTCCCCTCTCTCCTCTCTCCTTTTTCTCCTTCTTCTCCTTTTTTTCTTTCTCCTTTTTTTTTTTCGAAACGAATCAAATTTCCCTCTTTCCTCCTCCTCTTTTTTCTCCTCCTCCTTAATGCAAAATTCTGACGAGGCTGCAATTAGATCGACCGAATTGCCGAGGTGTATTTTTATTACAAAGGAGAAAAACCGAGCGAATTATTTCGAACGTTTCGTGGCGTTGAAACGAATTTGGGGCGTAATATTCGCTTGTCTTTTACCGGAGTATCTCCGTGATGCTTTTAAAATATTGACACGCATAGCTAAAACTGGTAGCCAGAAACACGGAGGCGCGTTTCATTTGCTCTCTGTCGCTTTCTCATCTTGACGCGTCGCATTTCGCCGCGATAGATATATATATATACACACGATACGTTTGAACGTGTGCGTTTGAGTGCAACATTGTGCACCACCACCACTACTACCACCACCACCACCACCACGTACGTGCATACACGTCGAACGTGCCCGCGCACATTTAGGCACACGGAATTACGAGGGCAGAAAGAGATAGACTGGGTTGTATTGATCTCGAGGATTCAACAAACAGCACCTAGTGCCTCCCGCTCCTTCCTCTCTAACTTCACCTTACTCCTCCACCCTCCACCTCACCCCTATCTCTCGCTTCCTTCTCCACGTATTTCATAGGATTCGGCTTGTCTTCCGAATGGAGTTCGACGAGCTCTACCCCTCTAATACCCCATTCGATAGTTTCTCTAGTTACCCTACACTTTCTTTTTCTATTTCTTTTCTACATTCATCGTAAATTGTAATCGTTAAGTTATATGCATCGCGAGGGATATTACCCAATTTCAATATCACCCCGATATTCGAATGGTCTTGGCAATTCTTCTCCGTTACTCGACGTTTACGGTTGTTCATCATGCATATGTCAGTGTCATCTTGCCATTTCGTCTACTTTTACTCTTTTTAGTGCATTAGTTAGATTTATCACGATAATCGTAAAGTTATAGGATATATTTGGAAATATGATGGATATATCGCGTAATCTCGATGCAATATCACGCAAGACGTTGAAGGATCGAAGAGTAAATGGATGTACGCCACTCAATGGCGATCGAATTGTCTATCGTTAAGGTTGCACGGTGTCAGTGTCGGACCAGAGTTTTTCGAGGGTAGAAGAGAGGAAAGTTGGAGGAGGACACGCGATACTCGGCCCTAGTGAGCGTAGGCCACGCGATGCCTAATACACGATCAGCCTACAACCCCCATTGGGAACCCCTGGCAAAACAAACCCTGCCTGGCTTATCCAATTCCACGGCATTTCCACGAATCTCTTCCATCTCTTGTCTGTGCTACCCAACCCTGACGCTCGTAGTTCCGACGTAAATGGAGGTGGAGCATTTGTTTCAGCCACCCCTTTGTCCTCTTCCTTTCTCTCTCTCTCTCTTTCTCTCTCTTTGTTCGTTCGATCCTTCGTTCTCGTTTTCTCCGTTTTTACCATCAACCCGCAATCCCTGCCATTCAACCGGTTGGATCGTCTTGTTCTTATTTCCTTGGCGTGAAACTGCGTCACCTTTGAGAGCTACCAAGCTCTAAAAGCACTCGCCGCCTCTGGTTTCACAGACAGGGCGAGGAAATGGTTTTACTTCCTCCTGTCGCCGAAGGTGATGGCCTGATAACATATGTCTTTCTTTTCTTGTCTTTTTTTTGTGAAATGTGTTTTTTTTTTATGTTTGGTATTATGTTTGGAATTGTTGTATGGAATTAGTATAAATTTAGTAATTTTCATAAATCAAATTGTTGTTTTGGTTTTGAATAATTAATGAATGGTTGGAGAAAAATTTATAAAATTTTTCTATTTTTTTTTTCTTTTAATTTTATTTAATTCCGTCTTCTTCTTCTTCTTCTTCTTTTTTTTTTCCTAATCTAATTTTTTCTCATCATCAAACGCAGGAAATCTTAGAGGACACTGGCGAAATCGACTCTCCATTTTCTACTCTTCACAGATTAGAGTCATCTATCACCCGGATTCGATCCGGATAACCGTTCGTTTCGGACCTTAGCCAGATTCTTATCAACCTGATAAATCTCCCCGATAAAAAACGTTGGCGTGCCTGTTCCATCGTTTGACCAAACTTACTCCTCGTATACCGTGATAACCTTCGACGTATATATTGGGGGAGAAGTTTGGAAGAGTGATGATTACGATAGAAATTGCAAAGGAAAGTATAAAAGTCGATCGCGTGATTATCGCGTCCTAGGAAAGAATGAAAGATCTGCCCGTTTGTGTCACACGTGTCACGTAGTCGGAGCAAGTTTGCGGGAAATAACTTTCTTCCTTCTTTAATTCCGCG